CCATACTTCAAAATTCTCTTTAAAAATACTCAGAGCTCTCACAGGTATTTAAGCTGCACAGAAAAATGATGATCAACGTGTCATCTTTCATTTCCCTTTTCATTTTTTTTTGGTGGCTTGACCATTGAATATTCGAGATATTCTCACCCAAAGACAACGACCCCTATTTTCCCCAAAGCGGAAAAGTAGCCATCTTGAAAAATGATCCCTGACAACATGACAAAATAGCGCCACTTTCGAGCCCAATAGCATCCAAAATGCTCAAAATTGGAAGCCCCAAGTCCGGGCCAGAGGTTCATTGCCATATCTCTTTAATTCCCCAATTTTATGGCTCTCAGAACTCTAATATTTTGAGGGTAGGCCTATAACTTTTATTCATGAGCTCGGCGGGTGGATTTAGGCTGCGTGCATTGCAGTGATATTTTGCGTGCGTGGAACCGGTCCCTGAAGCTGCTAATTCGCCATCTTGGATCCCGCAAGCGTCACGCCGCCGCCGGGACGAACGTATGGGCTCCGTGCGCCGACAAAAGAGGGCGCCCTTTTACCTAGCAACGACGTCCCATGGGCGGGACATTTCGCTGGTTGACGCGCACCGTTCCTTGTGTGTGACGCACGTACACCACCAGGGGATTTGTCATGCACACGCAGTGGCCGCGCTTCGCGGCAATGAATTGCAGTCAGGTAAGATGGCGTCGGTCGGTCACCCCCAACTGTGCTTGCTTTGCCGGTGAGGGGGTACTTCTGAGAATAGTTTTTTTTTCACAACCTTCTCCCTACTATAATCAATATTATTCTTTGGATGTTGGCCAATCCTAGAGAACAGGATTGTGTTAATCTCAAAAGCTGGACAGTAACTAACACAATTCTAGTTTTTGCTGCCTTCAATATCTCTGAAAGGAGAAATAAATAGAGCCTGAATGCTAAAGGTCACGCGGATAAGCTTCCGGAACCCTCGCGCGGTTCGCCTATGAGGTTGAACTTTCTCTTGCTATAATTTTTGACACTGTAACCACCTCGATATGCATTCATGTTGAAATGTTTATCTTGGCATTCTTTTAAAAAAAAGTTATGAAAAATCACTTTCATAATTTCATTTACTACCTTTAACATCCGGCATTTTCGTTCCTTTCACATCGCGTACTAGCGTGAGAACGAGAATATATAACGACGCGAAGATTTACCTACCTACTGCCGATCGGTTCTAGGTTTAGTCGGGCAGGCTCGACTGCATGCAGTCCTTAGCAGCGGTCACTTTAGATTTTTTTTTTCTTTAATGCTAATTAATGAGTCCTTAAAGTTTATTAACAAAACAAAAACAATTGTAAACCCTAAAAGACATTTTGGTCTTCTATTTAAGTTTTGGTCTCCTATTTAAGATTTCATGCAAATGATGGCCATGCACAATGTTTCATCAGATTTTCGGAAGTGAGTGGTCAATTTTTGGCACGCTATTTCTCTTCCACGTGTGGTAATTGATTAGTTTCCATACATTGATATGCTGGTAACAATTTCACAAAGCCCCTTTTTGGGGGTGATTTTCTTAAGAAATCAATGTACCAAAAATGATTGCAAATTTTAGATTTTGTTTGTACGTGAATTTTCCTATCCAGGGGTTCCGGAAGCGCGCCACCAGGGGTGAACTTTCGGGCTCTAAGGTTGCAGACCAGTAATTAAACTTCCATAGACCCCAATGGTAAATGCTCACACTTCAGAAATTCGGGAAAAATACTCACAACTCTCCAAGTTGTTCGAGACACACATCAAATTAAAGCTTATTTCATCATCTTTCATTTTCTTTTCAATTTTCAGGGGGCTAACTGATGACTTTTAGGAGAAATTTCCATCCGAAGATGATCACCCCTGAAAATAGTCCTGAAGCCCATCGCCATGTTGAAAAACGATGCCTACACTCCATTGCAAAATAGAGCGCTTTATAATTAACTAAGGGCCCCAATTTCAGCCAAATTGAACGGAACTACAAGCTCACAGTCCTGTGCACGGTTCCACCCATATTTCTTTTTACAAACCCTCAAGTTCATGGCCCACAGCATGCTCAAATACTGAAGATTTTGAGGGCATGCAAATCGTGATTTGGCCGGCGCAGGCAATTTCGGACCGATTTACTGGTCTGCAACCCTAAACCAACTACACGTATAGAAACCTTGCATTTGTTTACTACGCGTGCGTCGTGGGTGACTCAAGATGGCGGCTGTAGCTTGAATGCGTGGGCAATGTAAGCATGCAATTCCAGTTAGTATCCTCCATGGAGGTCGGTGGAAGGAAGGAAGATGTTTTGATCAATAAGATGACTCAATAACTCATTCCCTGAGATTGGAGGGCCTGAAAAAACAAAGATTCATCATGTCTAATCTGAAACAAAGTAGAACGCAATAACGAACACGATATACGTGCTCATTCGTTATAGTGATTGTGCATTGTATAATTTACTACTTGGGGAGCTAAAGGGGATGTTCATTTCAAATGGAAAAGTGAAATAGAAGTTCAAGACATCTAAAATTAATGTATAGGCCACCTTATGGACACAACGCCTACAAAAAAGTTTATCATTGGTTTCAAGTTCAATGGGACTTTTATAGGAGGTGCGCAACCCAAACTCCTTTGTGCTAGTATAATAGTATCTTATGACAAATGTTCAGTGGCATGCAAGCGCTGTCAGTACCAGCCTATCACGCAGTGCCCCATTTACAACTTGTGAGACTGAACTGAAGCAACCTCGTCCCCAGTGCTTACTTTATTTCCAACCTCGTTTCCAATAGTAAAGCAGGTAGTGGTGGGCGCGTACTGCTCGACACCCTGGGGACGAGGTTGGAACTGAAGTAATTCGTGGCGTCCTGTTGTTACGCCGGGCTTTCCCGTTGAGGTTTATTCGGGGTCGACAAACTTTTCCAATATAACTGCGTACAGTTTCTCAAACAATTGCCTTGGAAATGGAAACAACAGCTGTTTAGATGTGTGGGTTGTTGTTGTTGGGCCGGGGGCACGCGGTGGGGTCAACTAAACATCGGGACATGTAAATTGTACGTGCAGATGTATGTACATGTACAATGTACATGTACATGTGCATGTACGTACACGTACATGTACATCTACATGTACATTTGTACATGCCACAGAAGTTTGTGTGACCTCGGAATGGTGAGCTTTTGCTGGAGGGAGGGGTGAAGGCGAATGACCGAGCGGAAGCCCGGGGAAAGAAAGATGCATGGCAAGAGATCATGGGTTCACTTTTAGCTGGTCTCAGAGGGCCACAGTCCATTTTGTACCTTTCTGACTGACCGGACTGCATGACTGCATGACTAACTAGCACACAGACAGACAGACTGACCATGACTGACTGACCATATGGAGGATTCGTTATTATTCCTCCATGGACTGACTGACTGACTCTCACTTGTGAATTAGACTTGCTTTAATTAAAGGGAAGATACAACATTTGCAAACATTAAAGAACTGAATGATCAAATTATCACGTAATACCTTACTGAATGGTTAGGGAATGACAGTCTAATTAAAGCATCCTTTAAACCGTGGCTCCTGGTGTGCTGTCTTTTTCACGAAAAACTGTATTTTTCCAACGCTGGTCGGCCGACCAGCAATGGAGAAAACTTTTTTTTTCAAAACTGTTCTTACTTTTTCATATTTAGTTATTCTGACTTTTCTTTGCAGTTGATTACACACCTGTGAAGGGGTTCAAGCTTGCTAGACTTATTCTCTGACCTTAAAATTCCCCAAAGTGTATTAATTACTCCGTTTCATCTTAAGTGGGATCCGGGAACCAGACTACAAGAATATGTGGTTTTTCCAGTATCTATAAGCCCAAAACGTGAATTAAGTCAGTTTAACAATATTTTCTATAACATACTTATCCTCCAAATCCATTTATTTCTGAAAATTGCAGCAAAAGCAAATGTTGTATATTCCCTTTAACTTTAGAGCCTCGATTTGCCCCCAACATTTGACTCCAATCATGGATAGACCAGACCAAATCATTAGGCCAAATAAAATAAAACAAACATGTTTCGTGTCCTGCCTTTTTGAAAAAAAAGGAAGCGGGAGGCCCTTTTTTCCCCTCCAAATTGCCGCCCGACCGGGCTATTTTTCAAGATGGCCGCTATTTCTTTTGAAAAATAGCACCATTGGACTCAGGAAATGACATACCAACTTTATATGGGCTAGATGCAACAGACATAAGTCAGAATTTAGCAGGCTTTTGTAATCCTGCCTAATTTTGGCCGTTTTTACCCTGTTTTTCAAAAAAAAAAAAAAATCCTACTTGAAAAGAATTTTGAATAGCACTAGATGGTTATAAGTGTTTGGCACGAGATTCTGAAACATGATATTCATGCTAGGCTGTGGCACGTGCTGCTCTATGGTGCACGTATTCAAAGATAAATTGGTCAATTTATTCTTAAAATTCCGGTGTAAATCATATTTTCGGAAGAACCACGGTAAAAGAAATAAAGAACATTTTCCGAATATCTTATCGAGACACATGTAATTTATGAACTTCACACATCTTTAGTTAAAAAAAACACTGTAAATTGAAAATCGGAATCATGTTATATGAAAGCATAGGGAAAGGACACATTTTCTCTACCAGGAAACGAAGTAATAGGCCTATACATTAAAACACCGTCATGACGAAAGACCGATCCGCATTACTGGTCAGGGGGGTAATGATATGTCAGTGTTCATTATCATGCGTGGGGACGCATAGCGCATAATGAGTCCCTACGGGGAATTGATTCAAAAACACCCCCGCCCACACGTGGAGCAGGCCATGGAAAAAAAAGAGTTTATCCGAACTACTACGCAAGTGAGTGCGCGCACAGATATATCCGTGTACATGTAGTATAGACACTGTACATATCGAGTGCATTTAGTTCTTGGGACGTGTGTTGGTTGTAGCGTAGGGAGAACTATTTTGGAACGTACATGAGGAAACATATATGGGCCAACTAATTTGATTGAATAAACTCATGGAAAAGACATGCTGTCACAGTCACAACCCGACTTACTGGGCGAGCAGAAACGGCACGACGAAATCCACAAGCGACGGCGGGACACGCACTCCGGAGATGATAGGTAACGGTGGGACGACCGTGATTGATCTCAACGACTCCCACGATCATCACAAAAACCACGGCAACGGGTTTCTGTTGAACGGAGCCTTGCCCAATGGAGTCCACCCGAGTCTTGCTCAGGGGAACGGGGCCCTGCCTCACTCGGCCATCGAGAAAATCGCCATCGAGATCGCCGAGGCCCAGGCCAATCACCCCCCGTCCCCGCCGCCCGTGTTCCAACCCGAGCCCTTCAAAACAGTCTTGGCCATCGTCTACTGCATGCTGGTCTCGTTCATGTCGGCCTTCACCATGACTTACACGCACGACCGCACGCCGGATTTAGCGAGCAACCCGCCCCTCCCCGATGTCGTGTTCGACTTGGTGCCCCGCATGGAATGGGCTTTTCTGGCCTGCGAGATCGGCATGATGTTACTAATGGCCGCAAATGTTGTCAACATTACGTTCCACAAACATAGGTAAGCCTGAATTCTAAAAAAAACCCCAGTTGCTCAATCCTAAAGGTTCCTGTTCTGCGATTTTGCTCAGTGCTCAGATACTTGAATGAAAGGATTGTGTTGCCCAGACCATGGAGGAATAAGAACAAGGGCGGATCCAGGGGGGGGGGGGGCAAAGGGGGCCATGCCCCCCCCCCAAAAAAACGAAACCAATTTTTTTTTTGTATGTGACATCGCAATAAAGGCAGGCAATGAGTACACCACTATCTTTTCCTCAAAAAACATTGGTTAAGGTGGTCAGAAATTGCCTCAGATCGCACCACAGAGCATCTAGAATCCAAAAAATTTTCCGGGCCCTTAAGCGGGCCCCGAACCCCACGCCGTAATTTTTGGACTCACTTTTTTGGGGGACCAAATTTTTTTTTGGCCCCCCCCAAAAAATTGTGTTCTGGATCCGCCCTTGAATAAGAACACACGCAATCCTTTTGTATCGAAATACTTGAATTGACGGAGAAGACGCTTTTAAAGTCTTCTTTAATCCCAAAATTGTTTCCCTATCATCATAATTTGCAATGACAATTGACTGGCCAGCCGAGGTTGTACACGTACACGGTGAAAAAAGGTGTGTTTGTATTATCAGAGTCTGACAATAGTGACAGGGATGTCCTTTTATGGCACTAACTTTTGATTGCCTTTGCCATGGTTTTATGGTTTTACATTCCTCTTATTCAAGTTAAAAATATCGCCGTCACGGGTCACGCTCGCACTCGGCTCTCGATATTCCCACAAATGGAATTATCCGAGTTAAATGAATTGTGTCCAATTCACACGAATTGATCGGTTATACAGTCACTTCCTTCATGCCCGTTGTGCTTTACGCAGTAACGATGTTATAATTTGTATGCGTGGTTTGGAGATTACGAACAAGGTCTTCAGATCTAATCTGCTGGCGGGTCACAATATGCTAAACGTGTCTCGTTATAGAGGCATATTGTGCATTAATAATGATCAGTCAGAAAGTTTGGGACTCTTATTAATACTGTGTATGATGAGAGTCCCAAAACTTAAGGTATTGAAAACATGCAATTGCAAAACAAGAAAATAGACTGGCACCTGAAATAAATAAACATGTGGCAAGTTCCCTTCCCCAATCTCATTGGCTCAGTCATTGTGGGCGGGGCGGGGCGGGGCGGGGTCAAGCAGGGTCGTCCTTCATTGATAACATACTAGTCCCCTCCCTTTTGCCAAATATGGAGACCTGATATGCAAATTGGTATGAAGTCATGAAACTTGGCACGGGCACAGCTACAGCTGGTCATTAATCCACGACACACAAGTGACAAAAACTGATAGGGCCATATAGTTCCGATTCGTTAATTACAGGCTAATTAGCCTATAATTGTGACCCAACCCATCAAAATGAGGCACAAGTCGCCAGAAGTGTTATTTAAGTATACGGATTGTAAGTAGGTCAAGTACGAATGGTGGTATTTAAAGGGAGTGTACAACATCTTGCTTTTGCTGCAATTTTCAGAAATAAATGAATTTGGAGGATCAGTATTCAGTAACAAAGCAAATATTGTTAAAATGACTTATTTCACGATTGGGCTTGTAGATGCTGGAAAACCAAGAAAACCAATCATGTTCTTATAGTCTGGTTCCCTGACCCACTTAAGATGAAACGGAGCAATTTATAGACTTTGGGGGAATTGTAAGGTCAGAGAATCAGTCTATAGCAGGCTTGTACCCCTTCACATGTGTGCAATCAATTGCAAAGAAATTGCGGAATAACTAAAGTTAGGAGCAGTTTTTGAAGAAAATAAACAGTTTTCTCCAACGCTGGTCGGCCGACCAGCGTTGGAAAAATACCATTTTCTTTTAAAATGTGGGCGCACCAGGAGCCACGATTTTACAGGCTGCTTTAGACTTGTCATTCCCAAACAATCTAGTAAGGTATTTCGTGAAAATATGATCATTTTTGTGACGTTTCATAGTGCAAATGTTGTATCTAGCCTTTAATACCCGTTGGACGCCCTACACTTTGAAAATACTCCAGTTTAATTTGACTAGAGATCAGTCAACAGGAATTTCTTGCGCTGTGGTCAAACTTGCACCTAGCTGTAATCAGCTGGCTGCCAGTTTCCGTGCACAGGCGCGTTTGTTTTCAAAAAAGTGGAAAAGTACATGAGCGATTTGAAAAATTCTTGCACTAAAAGAAAGCTTATTAATTGGGCTTTCATATCCTAGATCTGGAAAGCGCTACATGCAGAACTTCTTTAAAAAAAATAGGAGGCACCACTTGGGTTTCTTTTTTTTTTACTCAGCCTGTATAGCTACGTGCCTGGTTGCATCATCAAATCAATGTTCATTATTGCATTAAGTTGTTTCTCATCAATTTGCACACTGTATTATGCCCTACGGCACGGCATAGCTTTATGAAATATCAACATTTCCAGGTTTGGGGTTTTCCAGTTTGCAACTGAGTCTGTCATGTCTGTGTGGGCACATTCAATTCATTCATTTACATGTACTTGTGTAAGCACATTCAATTCATTCATTTACATGTACTTGTGTAAGCACATTCAATTCATTCATTTGTTTGTGTAAGGTTGGGCCAATGTGAATTCGTGCGCGAACCACATTTTCTAGTGTTAAAAAGATTGTAAGGTAAAGTTTACACAAGCGAGAATCCACTGGAGCACACAATATAAAGGCCGGGTCTTTTGCATTCCCAAAATAACCTACCAAATTGTTATCAAAAAAGCTTACTTGGATTAAAGATCGTACTGGTGCTAAAAAAAACCATGAAATTATTCCATCTGGCTTGCTGTCATTTTAGAAGAAATCAAGAAATGTAGGTGATTTCCAACTATCAGTCAAATGACTGATTTGGGGGGAAAAGGAGGGCTATGAACTTAATCATGTTTCGTGATCAAAATGTTTTATGTATTTTTTTAGTTCAACCCTAACACCTTAACTTCCTCATCCTTGCAAAATCCCAACTCAATATGGTAAACTGTGCACATAAACAGTTGGACACTGTTTATTTGTGGTATGCCTAATCCCACGTGGCACGTGAAGCAGTCAGTTTACTAGTGCAGTACTCATCCTAACAGATTCTAACAAACCCCGGCCAACCGGTGTTGGAGTGTGGCTGGTTGGGGATTGTTAGGCTTAACTCAAAACTGGCGTTTGCGACATTGACCGGGGTTATTTTTTCAGCCAACAATCCGTCTGGGTTTTGACCACGTTGAGTAAATTTTTTGTTGCTATTGTGTTGATACATGTAGCAAGAGGCCTACAGTATATCCTGAACACTGTGTTGGCAGTGTTTTGGGGTAGTCACAAGAAAGGCCTGTATCCTATTAATGCATGGATGAATATCAGTGAAAATTTTACTGAACGTGGTCACTACCCAGACCGATTGTTGGCTGAAAACTTACTTTACCGTCATTGTGGGAGGCGAGAACTAATCGGAAGGGGCATTTTTTTTAAAACTCGCCCTGTATAAAGCAAAGAAAGAAACACAAACTACAAGGTTTTAGCAATCACTTAATGTTTGTTTCATTAATTTTTGCTTTTGTGGTTCGGGAGATACAGAGTTTTTCCCCAAAAAAAATTCATGAAAAATCAAGTTTGTCCACGGATCACTCAATCAGGCAAAAATGACAGATTTTTTTTCTTTATTATCGTATTGTTTATTCAAAAACAATTTTCTGATTCCATTCAAAATTTTCAACCACCTGTCTTAACGGAAAAATACAACATTTGCCAACATCAAAAAATAAAACTACCAAATCATTTTGAAATACCTTGCTGGACTGTTAGTGAATGACAGTGTAAAGCATCCTGTAAAATCATGGCACCTGGTATACTGTCATTTTTAAGAAAAGTGGTATTTTTGTATCAATTTCCAACGCTGGTCGGCCGACCAGCGTTGGAAAATTGGCTTTTTTCAAATACTGGCCCCAATTGACCATCGCCCTTGTTTGCAATCGATTACACACCTATGAACGGGTACAAGCCAGCTAAACTGGTTCCCTGACCTTACAATTCCCCAATGTATGTAAACTGCTCTGTTTCTTCTTATATGGAGTCAGGGAACCAGACTACAGGAAAATGATTGTTTTTCTTGGTTTTTATAGCATTTTCGAACCCAAAACCTCAAAAAAGTCAGTGTAACTATATTTGCTATATATTTCCAACCCCCCAATTCCATCCATTTCTGAAAATTACAGCAAAAGCAAATGATGTATATTCCCTTTAAAAGAAAGTATTTTATAATATATTTTTGATATCGGGTGCCCTTCATTCTGTCTCACCCTGTGGACAAGTACAGGGGTCTACTTAGTAAATAAAATAATTGATACCTTTGAATTTTGATTTCACAAAACATGGACTTGAAGTGTTACACTTGCACCTATGGCATATCACTTTCCCGTACCGATGTTGATTGATTCACGTATTTTACGCAATCAAAAAGAACAATTGCGAAACAGGAAATATTTTACAATCCAGAAATCCCAGATGATCCCAGACTTGTTTGCGATTGTCTAAAACGTTTGCGAAGCCACTTATGGAGTCATAGTAGTCATGCAGCCATTAACTACTAAAACAAAGCAACTTTGGTTTTGAATAATAATGTTATTGGAATGACATTGCCACAAGAACTATTTTTAAGTCAACTCGTCAGACGGACATAGTTGCGGTAAACATATATACATTACATGCTGGTTCAATACACAGTGTATTGGCATTGCTGTACTGTATATGCTATTGTTGTTGTTATTACAAACGGAAATTCTTGTCAGGTTCGCAGTTTCATTATGAGCATAGCTCCGTGGTATGAGATGCGCGTTTTCCTCCACAGTTTTCGTTGATTTGTTTGGGAGGATATCACAGCTTATCTCAATGCCCCAAGGAAAGGCTCTACATCCGCGTGGAAAGAAGGATATGCTAATTTGACCACACAGGATAAACCAAATAATGTCTAGGGGTGCAGACAAGTGCATAAATTACATTAGA